TATGCAGCATCTAAGCTTCACTCTAATGTTGCTAATTGCTTCGGCCAAACATTAAGCTTGTACAGTCACACAAGCTTAAAAGATAATGAATAAGGAGCAAACTGAAGGCAAGCTCACATGCTAATTCCAAATCATGGTACAGTTCACATGTTCTAGTCAAAAGTAGATGCAAAACTCAACGGACAAGCTTTGTTGATGGAAACATCGACTGCAAAAGTATTCCATGAAATCAAATCGAATCAGCATGCTGTCTTCAGGAACAGAGACTTTGCAGGGACGACGTCAAGCATGTTGCATTCCGTTACGAGCAGAGTTGTGGGCGAGGTCAATGACGATATACGTGCAGACTGCAGACGGGCAGGCGGTGGCCTCTTCGCGGAGGTCAAGTCGGGCCGGCGTAGTCGAGCGGCCTTGGCTGCCAGAGAGGCAAGCACGGGCGGCGCCAGCAATGGCGGCGGCAGTCTTTCCGCGTCCGCTTGCTCTGGCCAAACGGGAGGAGGGCGGAGAAATTTGGTCGAGTGGATCCTGGACGCGGAGAGAAGAAGCGCGCGCAGGGCCGCGTGGGAGGAGAAGTGCGCAAGGTTTGGCGCGGCGGCGGCGGCGTACTGGATCCGGAGGAGGACGATGGAAAGGAGTCGTGTCTCCCCAACGTCGTTTTTGCGGTTTCTTCGTGTCTAGGTTCGCGAGAGGACGTCGTTCCTTCACATAGAAACGATTTCTTCGTTCTGTACTCTCTCTCTCTATCTTTATTAATTTGCGTGTCACATCAGCAAATTGTTGAGTTATCATAGTAATTAAGATAGATAAAAACTATCATTAATACCCCGTTGGAACAGAAATAAGAGCACCTACTTCAACCCGAATAAGAAGATTTTATCACAAGAGATCTAACCACCTGAGCTATAAGTTCATGTTGCACCTTATGAATGAGAATAAACTACAATGAGACGATGCCAATGTCTTTCCACTACAAAATGTTCTTGGCATTTATTCTGTCAAGTTGTTCCTTTTCCACTTTGGATTATTCTGCCGACCCACCTTTTCTTTTGGATTTCATGAATAAAGAAACAAAAAACTTTTGCAATGACAAAGAAGGCATGTCGTACGCACTTGACACCATTCTCACGTGCATTTGGTTCTCGTCGAAACGTTTCAGATTCAGATTTCCTTCAGAAACGTTTCTTTGATGAGTCAATCGTTTTGTTAAGCTGTTTGGCTAGCTTGTTGAATTCTTAATACTAGAACTAAAATAAGAAGAAACTAGGTTTTAGGTATTTCTCTAGACTAGCTAGTACAAAAATAAGAATCGGTTTCAAGTGATTTTCTCTAAAACATTTCTCTTTTTGTGGCGTTTAGCAAGGATTATAGTGATTCTACTGAGAATCTAAAATGTTTCTCAGTTGCCAAATGCATAAGCCTTTTTTTCTTCAATTGGAAAGAGCACACATGCTCGCTGAATCATAAGAGAAAATGAATTTTTGGTTGTTATTACCTAATTTGTTGAAATAATAAGAATCTACATTATGATACCAAAAAGATAAACAATGAAAATAGATTTTGTTATATATCTATTGAAGCTCATTTGAGATCATCAATATTCTTGTTTTTTTTTCAATAAATTTGATCAAACTTAGAATAGTTTAACTCATGGGAAGTGAAAATCTACTATATTTTATCACATAAGAGTATCCATGAGTGTGCTACTTATCACGCACTCCCACTACCTACAATAAAACGCCGAAAGAAATTTGTTTATGTGTAAATTGTGGACTATAATTTGCATGGGTCAATTTGTACAGTGGCACTCGATCCACTACCGCATCAAAAGGCGGTTCCTTTGTCCTATGTGTTTGCACATGACCACATCCATCAGCTCTTTAAAGTCTGTTTGAGAGAGCTTCGGCTTCAAGAATCAGATTCAAAACATCAGCTTCATCGTGGAACACTTTCACCGTGGAGCTGGACTTCCATAAAATTGTTGAAAATACTGTAGGTCTAAAATCACTCTGCTGAATCAGCCCAACAGCCAGCCAGCCACAACGTATCAATGGAAGCTCCTCCTCCCCTTTATCTTATTGCCGCCCTAGGCCCGCGCATCAGGCTCTAGCTGGTGGGTACTATGGAGATTCTTGAGCTGTCGAGTAAAGCTAAGTGTTTGTCTATATAAATTAAGCTGTAAAAGTCACGCAATTATTGCTACTTTTATCAAGGGCTGGGTGAGAGACGCTCTACTCGACAGCTCAAGAGAGAATGAGGGAGGAGAGGGGGAGCTCGGGACCCACTTGTCGGCGCGGGGCATATCGCACGAGGGCAAGCCGAATCGGAGGCACGGGGAAACTGGAGTGTTGATTATTAATGTTTGATCTTTTTAGAAGTAGAGATAATGGTAATCCTGAATAGCAAGCCCAATCATGTTTGACAGTTGACACTCTTCTACCATTCTTTAATGATAACAGAGCTTGGGAATGCTGACGGCTTCATCCATGATGCCAACCGCGAGCTCGCCGCCGTCGGCGTCTCCTGCCCGGCTCACCCTCTTCTACGTCGCGCTCTACCTGTTGGCTCTGGCGCAAGGCTTCTACGGGCCATGCGGGGAAGCCTTTGGCGCGGACCAGTTCACGCCCAGCGACAGCGACAACCCCAGCGCGCCTGCGTTCCGGAGCTCCTACTTCAACTGGTTCCACTTCTCCATATCCTGGGGCTATGCCATCGCGTCGGCCGGGCTGAGCTACGTCGAGGACAACGCCGGCTGGACCGTCGGGTTCGGCGCGTGCTGGACCGCGATGGTGCTATGCCTTGCCGTCTTCTTACTTGGCACGCGGACGTACCGTGCCAAGCAACCCGCTGACGGCGGCACGTTCGCTGAGACCGTGCGCGCGTGGGCCACGAAGGTCTTCCGTCGCAAGGACAACACTCCAACTGAAAGGTGAACACGAGCAAGAGCAAACACTTTTACGTTGTATATTGCAGACACGGGTACGTCACAGAAGGGTCTTGTCCTGATGGAGCTTCTTGACTTCTGCAGGCTTCTAGCTTCACAACCTGAGAGCGGAGGTGGACTCGTAGCTAAGCTTCTCCCGATATGGTTGACGAGCTTAGTCTTCGCGGCCATCTTCTCGCAAGTGTCCACTCTGTTCACCAAGCAGGCCAGCACATTGGACAGGAACCTTGGCACGGCGACAGGCCTCGTCGTGCCGCCCGCTGCGCTCCAGTGCTTGACCAACATCACCTTCATCGTCATGCTCCCCTTATACGACCGCATCATCGTGCCCTTCGCGAGGCGCCTCACAGGGCACGCCTCGGGCATCACGATGCTCCAGCGCATCGGCGCCAGCATGGCCACGTCCTGCGTCGCCATGGTCGTCGCGGCGCTCGTGGAAGTCAGGCGGCTCCGCGTGGCCAGAGAGGCGGGCTTGGTCGACCGGCCGAAGGTGGCTGTGCCGATGAGCTTGTGGTGGATGATTCCGCAATATGTTCTCATGGGCCTCGCCGGAGTGTTGGGTCAGGTTGGTCTCGAGGAGTTCTTCTACGACCAGGTGCCCAGCACTCTCCGCAGCGTCGGGCTCGCGCTGTGCCTGAGCATCTTTGGCGTTGGAAGCTACGCCAGCAGCATGCTTGTGTCCGTGATCGACTGGGCGACGAGAAGCAAGGGCGACAGCTGGTTCTCCGACAATCTCAACCGAGCGCACCTCGACTACTTCTACGGGCTCCTCGCAGGGCTCGCGGCTCTGGAGGTAACCGCGTTCTTGCATTTTGCAAATCGATATGTCTACACAAACAAAGCCGAGCTGTGAATCTCTGATTCTTGAAACTTTGCAAGTATAAAAATACTTTGCGCGTCATGGAACGTCACGGATGCACTTCGTAGAGCGGTATTTCAGAGGGCATGTTTCATGTAGCTCCAACTTCAGCTAAAACAGCTCCAGCGATATCTTCTCTGATGAAACAATTGATTCTAGCTCCAGTTTCAATAGTAAGAAAATATTTGATAAAACAGTTCCTCGAGTTGTTGAAAAAGATGAAATGTCAATAATACTCTTACTCTAATCTTTTCTTCTCTTTCTCTCCACTTTATCCTCTCCCATGCCACCAGCCCACCACCGCACAACAAGTCTCCATTCAACGACGATGTCCTTGTTGCCTTCGACAACAAAGATGACGACATCCTCATTGCCAACCAATGCCGCGAGCAGGCGTGAACCCGAGTGGCGCCCGAAGCTCCCTCTTCTCAGCTGTCGAGGCAAATCCGACATCGCCCTGCGTCAGACCCATGGGAATCGAGAGGGTGTCAGCCGAAGCTACTAATTTTCGAGTCCTCGACGTGATTCACCGAGCTTCTTCAACGATGCAGACCGAAAGGGAGTTGGGTGGGGGGTGACGGCTTGACGGTCATTCGGAGCTGCTCACGGATCGCTACTAAACGATGCTAGAATTTGTGACTTCTCTCACGAAGTTTTTGTTTTTTTTAGGGGAACTTCTCTCACGAAGTTGTTTCTTGAGTTATAGTATGTTTGGCAGGGCTTCGTCTAAGAAGCTAGAGAGCCGGTGTCCTCCCTAATGGCATCCCCGACACCCTCTAGCCCCACTATTGGCGTAGTATGTTCCCCTCCCCGTGCTTGCATGCGCGGCTAGCCAGGCAGCCGGTGGAATCTTGTTTTTTCAGCGCATTTTGTATGACTTCGCGTACTGGGTGAAGTTGCTGTTGCTTCCGTTTGGTTGCTGAGATGCTGGAGTGAAGCGGCTCCTGGAACGGGTGGAGTCTGGAGACGCTCCACCAAACGCATTCAAAATAGTTAGTATACAACTATGCAAAATATAAATAAACTAATAAATAAACTAAAATATACGAGGGATCCCAATAAACAGCTCACGTTGGAAACCATCAATCAATTGATTAATATATCGCCCACGCCTACGCACGTGATATGTTTCGGGGGTCAACAGAGCCGCCCGAGCCATTTTATACGCCAGCCGGATGCAGCGCTCCCGGCGGCCCGGCCATGGAGTCCGGCGGGTTCCTTTCCCGAACCGTTCCGTCCGTCGGCTCCGAACCTGCCGACAGCCGCGGCGGCTGGCGCGCAGCGCGCTTCCTCCTAGGTAATCTTCAAGATCTTGATCACTGTAGAAGCTACTCCTACTAATCAGCTAACTCGGCATACCTTTGCGCAGCTGTCGGGTTCTTGGAGCGAATCGGATTCTACGGCGTGCAGGCGAACCTGATCATGTACCTGAACGGCCCGCTGGGCATGTCCACGGCGGCCGCTGCTGCCAGCGTGAACGCGTGGGCCGGGACGGTGCAGGTGCTGCCGCTTGTCGGCGCGCTCGCCGCGGACTCACGGCTGGGGCGGTACAGAGCGGTCCTAGCCGCTGGCGTGCTCTATCTGCTGGTCAGTCTTCCAAACACATTATTTGATTTTCTTTCTGGTCATTTGTACTGTAGAATCTTGCAGTATAGTACTATATTTCTACAAAAAAACGGTGATTTTGACTGTGTACTGTATAGTATAACAGTTGTTTTGGGCCATTTGGATACTGGAGTGATGGTAACACAAGCCACAAGGCTTGCCTAAACTTTCGCCCTTAAGTACCATCGATCTTACCTTAGATTGATTCAATTTGGCCCTTAAGTAACATCCATTTGTTTTCGTACCTTAGGAAGCCAACTCTACTATGCAATCTGCGTTGTGCCCTGCCAAAACAGATCCCACATTCCCACACACCTCGACGGTCGACGTTATAGCTAGTGCTGTCTATACTCGACTGACTGGCAAACTGTTCATGCCGAGCTCTGAAACAGTATGTCACGCTGATGCCGTGCTGTCCGCATATCCTTTTACGAGCAAAAGGTTTTTAGTCGGAAATCTCAAGTCCCTGTTTCTGAAACCTCTCCTACTGAAGATGTCACTCGCAGAACTCTGTTGGGCAGACGCCCTCCTACATCATGACATGACATCGGTTACCAAACTCAAACTGCAACGATGATCGACAGAGCTTGGGAATGCTGACGGTCTCATCCACGCTGCAAACACCGCAGCCTCACGCCGGGAGCTCCCCCTCCCCTTCCTCTGCCCGGCTCGTCTTGTTCTACATCGCGCTCTACCTGCTGGCGCTGGCGCAGGGCTTCCACCGTCCGTGCGCGGAGGCGCTCGGCGCGGACCAGTTCGCTACGACGAGCGAGGCCGAGGGCGACCGGAGTGCGCTCGCCGCGTCCCGGAGCTCCTACTTCAACTGGTTCCATTTCTCCATATCATGGGGCTACGCCATCGCCACCGCGGGCCTGAGCTACGTTGAGGACAACCTCGGCTGGGCCATCGGGTTCGCCGCGTGCTGGGCCACGATGGTGTTATATCTTGCATTCTTCTTGCTTGGCACACGAACTTATCGTGCCGAAAAACCCGTCAGCGGCAGATCGTTCACTGAAATCGCGTGGGACTGGGCGGCCAGGGTCCTCCGTCGCAAAGATGCCACCGAGGATACCACCGCCGAACGGTGAGCATGAACGTTTGCTTACGTTCTCTTGCAATTAATGTGACATAAAGGTCTCATCATAATGTACATTCTTGACTTATGTAGGCTTGTAGCTCCAGAACGTGAGGATGAAAGTAAAGGGCTCGTCGCCAAGCTGCTCCCGATATGGGTGACGAGCCTAGTCTTCGCGGCCATCTACTCGCAACTCTACACCCTGTTCACCAAGCAGAGCAGCACGCTGGACCGGCGCCTCGGCGGTGCCACGGGCCCCGTCGTGCCGCCCGCGGCGCTCCAGGTCTTCGTCAGCGTCACCATGATCGCCGTGCTCCCAGTCTACGACCGCGTGCTGGTGCCGCTCGTGAGGCGCTTCACGAGGCACCACGCGGGCATCACGCCGCTCCAGCGCATCGGCGCCGGCATGGCCATGTCCGGCGTCACCATGGTCGTCGCGGCGGTGGTCGAGGGCAGGCGGCTCCGCGTGGCCAGGGACGCGGGCCTGGTGGACCGGCCGGACGTGGCACTGCCGATGAGCCTGTGGTGGGTGGTGCCTCAGTACGTCATGATTGGTGTCTCGACCGTGCTCGCTGAGATCGGGCTCGAGGAGTTCTTCTACGACCAAGTACCCGACGCGATGCGAAGCGTCGGGCTCGCGCTGTCCCTCAGCGCCATGGGCGCCGGGAGCTATGCCAGCAGCGTGCTTGTTTCGGTGATCGATTGGGCAACGAGGAACTGGGGCGCCGAGAGCTGGTTCTCTGATAACCTCAATCGAGCACACCTCGACTACTTCTACTGGCTCCTGGCAGGGCTCGCCGCTTTCGAGGTGGCCGCGTTCTTGCATTTTGCAAGCAGATACGTCTACAGAAAAGTCTAGCTATGAAGCTACAATTCAGATCTTTGAGCAAGCACACTGAACCAGAAAGATTTATAGGCACCGAACAGAGACCTACATGAACGAATTCTTGTACAAATGTGTTCTGAGTAGAACGTACTTCCTCCGTCCTAAAATATAATGTAATCAAGCAGTTCTAGTATCTAATAAAGAGTATGACAAAAGACTAACTTGCTCCTAACTAATTAATTATTTTGGTTGTCAATTTGTTCAATTTTCTAGTAATTCATAGTTTATAAAGTCATGCAGGTATGTTAATGATTTTGGCTACCAATTATACGAGTCATTTTGCATAATATGGTATTTAAAAGGTATGCATAAATAGGATTTAAAAGGTAAACATACATAAATATGGCCCCAAAGGGAGTCCATAAGGGGTTGGTGTAATATGTTTCAAATGTAACTCGCTTCCTTCTGCTGCTCCTCATTTTGTAGTGCAGGACTCAGTCCTCGAGCTAAAAGTCTTCCACTACGAACTAGCTCCGGCATCTATGTGTAGTGATGTTTGCACATGCACGTCCTGTAAAATGCAAGATTAATATAAATGCAGCATGTTCGCTTGTTGGTTTCAGCCAGCCCAAACCAGTCAGCCAACAGTGTTTTTCTCTCACAAAAAACCAGCACCAGCCAGCCTAAACCAGCACCAGCACCAACCAGCGAACCAGCACCAGCACCAGCACCAACCAACACCAGCCAGTCTAAAATTTTACCATATTTGCAGTCCATGGGCTCATAAAGTATTTTCTGCTTGATGCACGTGTCGATTAGCATACAACAACACCAGCGCCAAACAATCAGCCAAATGTGCTTAGCAGGTTAGATATACTAACAAAATTACGTGATACCCGCGTGAAGGTACAATAATTTCATCCCTGCAAGTAAACTCTCTCGCAAGCACATCAAACAGAGAGAAATAAAAAGAAAGATGCTGACAAAATTCCGTATATATTATTACATTTGCCATATGATATCTGGATTTTGAATGGGACATTGCATTTGAAAGCTAAGATCGTGTTTGGTAGGGAACTATATTATTAGATAAATAAACGTTTCAGATTTAAATTTAGATTCTTTCTCAAAGCAGACTGAATTCATATCCTGCAAAGAACAGAATAGACCAATATGCCGTTATTGATATCTTAAAGCTGATAGCAATTCTTCTTCATTCCACTATGTTCTTTTGAGCTGGTTCGTATTTGAACAACATTTCGTGTTTTGCCACCTCGTTGAGAACTTGAGCTCTCCAATTCGCCATGGCTTGGGAAGCAGCAGCTAGCTAACTGAATTATTGCGATTCCGTCGAGGAACGGATGCGTTTCACCAATCTAAACGCACACTGAATAATAAAAAAAAACAGAGAGCGAACGAGTGACGACTGATCGGATCCAGACAGATCAACCACGCCGCAGCACGAGGGACGCTGACAGCGATATGACATTAGACGCGCGTCCTTTTTGTTCCTCGGATCGGGGGAAGACGCCTCCACCCCCACCTCCGGAGGCGCAGCAATGGAGTCCGGTGAGCTCCTGCACCGACCCGGGCCGTCCGTCGGCTCCAAACCCGACGGCCGAGGGGGCTGGCGCGCGGCGTCATATCTCATCGGTAAATCCCGCAGACCTTGATTCGGTTTTGTATATCACTGTCACGCGAAACTAACCTGCTCTGCCTTAACCGTGGCTCTGCAGTGGTCGGGCTCTTGGAGCGTATCGGGTTCTACGGCGTGCAGGGCAACCTTATTATGTTCCTGACCGGCCCGCTCGGCATGCCGACGGCGTCAGCGGCCGCCGGCGTCAACGCATGGGCTGGGACCGTACAGGTGCTGCCTCTCGTCGGCGCGCTCGCCGCCGACTCGCGGCTCGGACGGTACCGAGCGATCCTAGCCGCCAGCGTGCTCTATCTGCTGGTTAGTGCTTTTGGATGACTGCACTAGTTCGCTCTTTTTTTCGTGCTGATCTCAATCCATGTACGAGGTGTCACTGACGACTGACGTTCTGGCTGGAGTAGCATAGTGACTAGTGAGACCGAACTTTTCAAATCTTGAAAAATATAAATTTTGCAATGTCTGACACTGTTTCCGAGCTGCAACGACGACAGAGCTTGGGAATGCTGACGGCCTCATCCGTGCTGCAAACAGCGCGGCTTCAGACTGTCTCCGAACCCATTCACCCAAACAGGAGGAGATCTAAAATTAGCTTTTAATAGAGTACTTATATGGGACATCTATTTTAGGTTATCTGATAGGCACAATCTAAATATGGATATTCTCCCTCTTGGAGACCTATTTGTAGAAATGTTTCTCTTTTAGATCTTGTTGTTGGAGAAGATGCCGAATAGGTATTGAATCTTTTGCATGTATCGCTAGCTAAGGTTGTTGGAGATAGACTCCCAGCGAGCTCTGCTTCTGGGCCGTCGACGTCGGCTGCCCACCTCGCCTTCATCTACGTCGCGCTCTACCTGCTGGCACTGGCACAGGGCTTCCACAGGCCGTGCGCGGAGGCCCTCGCCGCGGACCAGTTCACGCCAAGCGACGGCAACCCCAGCCCGCGCGTGTCCCGGAGCTCCTTCTTCAACTGGTTCCACTTCTTCATTTCTTGGGGCTACGCGACGTCCACGACGGTGCTGAGCTACCTCGAGGACAACGCCGGCTGGGCCGTCGGCTTCGGCACGTGCTGGGCCACGATGGTGCTGTGCCTCGCCGTCTTCTTGCTCGGCGCGCGGACGTATCGCAGTACCGAGCAACCCGTCGACGACGGCAGCCCGCTCGTCGCGACCATGAGCGCATGGGCCCGCCAGGTTCTTCAGATGCAAGGACGCCACTAGCACGGAGCGGTGAGCATCCGTGAACTTCTGCAATCTCATGTGCCCACCTCAGCGCCTTAGTGCAGGGTGCCCTCCATTTGTGCAGGCTTCTGAACAGAGAGCCTGACGAAGGCAAAGGCCTCTGGGCTAAGCTGCTCCCAGTATGGCTGAGTGGCATGGTCTACGCATCCCTCACCTCGCAAGTTTACACGCTGTTCACCAAACAAGGCAGCACACTGGACCGGCGCGTCGGCTCGGAAGGCCTGACCGTGTCAGCCGCCGCGCTCCAGTGCCTAGTCAGCTTCACATTCGTCACCATGCTCCCGATCTACGACCGCGCCTTCGTGCCCGTGGCAAGGAGCGTAACGGGGCACCACGCGGGCGTCACCACTCTCCAGCGCATCGGCGCCGGCATCGCCATGTCCTGCGTCGCCATGGTCGTCGCGGCGCTCGTGGAAGGCAGGCGGCTCCGCGTGGCCAGGGACGCGGGCGTGGTGGACTCCGCCGGACGTGGCGGTGCCGATGAGCCTGTGGTGGGTGGTGCCTCAGTACGTCCTGATGGGCTTAGCGGAGGTGCTGGCCGATATCGGGCTGGAGGAGTTCTTCTACGACCAGGTGCCCGACGCGCTCCGCAGCGTCGGGCTCGCGCTGAGCCTGAGCGCTCTGGGCGCGGGGAGCTACGCCAGTGGCATGCTCGTGTCGGCGGTCGACTGGGCGACCAGGGGCGGCAGCGGGGAGAGCTGGATCTCTGACAACCTCAACCGGGCGCACCTCGGCTACTTCTACTGGCTCCTGGCGGGGCTCGCCACTCTAGACGTAGCCGTGTTCTTGTACTTTTCGAAGCGATTTGTGTACAGGAGCAAGAGCGAGCTGTGATTATTTCATATACTTGCATTTTGTGAGAAGAAAAAAACAGAAACGATTTGGTTTTATAGATTGCACATCATAATGCATAAGCGATGAAAGGAAGATAAATGACTGTGATTTCAGTTTCTCGATGTCCGTTTTGTAATTCAAACTGACAATCATGAAGACTTGTTCGGTTAATCCCCAATCTCCCTCATCTCTGAAAGTGTCAATCCGCTCAGCCTATACCGTAATGTCCTCGGAAAGCTTCCCGTCCGAACGGCCGGACGGAAGCCGTGCGCCGAACGGAGCGCGCGAATCATCCCGCGCTCTTTTCCCGCGCTGCTGGCTTTCCTCACGGGCACTGCAGGCCCATGCGCGGCCCACGCAAAAGCGAAGCCAGGATGTGGGATTTGCGACTACAGAGCAGCGTACAGCGTAGGTAAGTACGTATGTTTTCTTTTTCTTTTCTTTTCTTTTTTTATTTTCTCTTTTTCTTTTTTCTTTTCATGCTTCATTTTTATTTATATTTTTTGTTTTATTTATTATGTGATTTTTTATTGTTCTTCTCATTTTCATTTTTATGTTTCTTTTTTTCCTTTATCTTTTCTTTTCTTTCCTTTTCTTAATATTTTCTATTTTCTTTCTTCATTTTTTTATTTTTTTGATTCATGTGATTTTCATTATTCTGTAGTTAATAAATCGTTAGCACCACATAAAAACATTCCCCTTAGAGTAGCTGACATTTCTGTAATTATTATAATTAATTAATTTGTTTATTTTATTTTATTTTATTTTTATACTATATTATTTTTGTATTTCTTTATTTTTCCTTTTTCTATTTTGTCTTTATGTTTTCTATAGATATTTTATTTTCCATTTTTCTATTTAACTTTACTTAATTATTTTTTTATGTTTTTTATTTTCTATATTCCATTAGATGTTATGTTTATATAGAATAGATGTGATATTCTGTAATATTTTTTGCGATGTTCACATGGTATATAATGTCATGTTCTGTGATGTTTTTTTAATGTTTATGTAGTATACATCCGATGTTCCATTATTTTTTGTGATGGCCACGTGTTATATATGTGATGTTTTTATGATACTTTTTTATGTTCATGTGGTATACATGTGATGTTTTATGATATTTTTTTATGTTCACGTTGTATACATGTGATGTTCATGTAATATACAATGATGTTCACGTAGTATACATGTGATATTCTTTGATGTTCTTTATAATGTTCACTTAGTATACATATGATATTTTATGATTTATTTAGTGATATTCACTTAGTATACAAGCGATGTTCTATGGTATATTTTTAGGATGTTGAAAAGTATCCATGTGGTGTTCTTTTAAATTTTTCTCTATTACATGTTTTTATTTTTTTCGTTATTCTTTGCTCTAGATTTTATCATTTTTATTTATGTTATAGATTTATTTACTGTTTTCTATATACTTCACCATTTTTGTTATTTTTATTTTTATTTTTTTGCATATTATAATACCAATTACACGAACCTGTAACTAGAATACTGCTCTTATATTTCTTTTTACTTTACTCTAATTAATTATTTTCTTTATTTTTGTTTCTCTTCTATTTCTATTTCTATTTCTATTTCTTTTTTTTCTTTTCTTTTTTCCTTTCTTCTGTTTCATTATTTAATTTACTATGTGAACTTTTTTTTGTTTTAATATTTTTATATGTCATATGAGATACAAGGTAAGTTCGATAGTACACGTGATTTCAATTTTATTTTTCTTCTTATTCAAATTATTTATTAATTTTATTTTTTGTATAGTTTATCATTTGTTGTTTACTATGTATGTGCATTTTTTTTGTTAATTTACTTTCATTAATTAATTTAATAATTTTGTTTTTTACTTTTACTTACTATATTATATGAGATACATGTGATGTTCTATGATATATTATGTGATATTCACGTAGCACATGTGATGCTCTATGATGTATTTTCTGATGTATTATGTGATATTTTATGATGTATTGTATGTTAACGTAGTATACATATGATGTTTTATTATGTATTCTGTGATGTTCAGCTCGTATACATATGGTGTTCTATGATATATTTTGTTATGTTCACGTGGTATACACATGATGTTCTATGATGTATTTTGTTATGTTCATGTAGTATACATGTGATGTTCTATCATTGTTGTGTGATGTTCACGTGGTATACATGTGGTGTTCACGTAGTATACATACAATGTTCTATGGTATATTCAGTGATGTTCATATACTATACATGCGATGTTCTATGATGTATTTCTGCGATGTTTACGTAGTATGCATGTGATATTCATGTAAATGTTCTATATATTTTTGTGGCATTCATGTACTATACATGAGATGTTTCGCGTATTTTAGGATGTTCATATATTATAAATGCATGTTCCATGATTATCTTTGAGTTTCCATGAGATGTTCTGCGGTATATTTTAGATTGTTTAAATAATGTCCATGTGATGATCTTTTTAATTTACCTTTTTTACGTGAATTTTTCTTTTTAATTGTGATTTGCTCTATGCTTTAGTTATGTTTTTTCCATGTGATGCTTTTGTCCGGGTTACATCATGTACCAAAATATTTCTTTTCCTTCTCTCGGTACGCTCACTACTTTTTTGTGCCCGAGCTAAGAGGTGCGTGCTGCGTTTCGCGCGCAAGTACGTGGGGGGTGGGTGTTCGGTGGCAGTGAGAGTGATGCAGCGTGGGCCTAATGTGACCAAGCGCAGCAGCGGACGCATTGCCAGGCGGGAAAATTATCAACACGAGGCTATCGTCAAGTCGCTTGGACCTTAGCAGCTCCCTCCATGGGACGAAAATGATATTTTTTAATTCACATCATATAAATGGGATGTTTTACAATTATCTATAAAAATACGATGTTTTTTTTGCTTATGTTTATGTATTTGTGATGTGTCTTCTGTTATGTCATTTTTTAGTATTTATTTATTTATATATGTTTCATACTTTTGTTAGTCATTTTTATATTTTTATTTTATTTTTTATAGATATTTAATACAAAATGCATGAATCTATCATTTTCTTTTCTTAGATCTGGAATACCGTTTTTCTAAACTAAGAATGTTTTTCTTGTGGAGACGAAACATTATTTTATAAACCTAGAACATTGCATTTGCTCAATAAAAAAAATGTTCAATCTTTATATAAAAAATGTTCCTAATAAAATTTTATCTAAATATACCTAAGTGTGATCTTGTTTTGAAGATTTTATTATAAAAAATACAACGGTGCAATCGGAATTTAATTTGGAATCTCGGTTTGGTTATATTTCTAAACTTGGAGTTTTGCATGACTGCATGCATGGTGGTCTGGTGGATGCTTTTTAATCAATTTTGTGCACAAACGTACGCTATGAAATCTATCCACCAGTGATGTGACATCAGCCCACCAACGCTATGGTTTTTAATCAATCTGCGGGCGCACTAAGGACCTGTTTGGTAGGGCTCCTCTCCGGCTCTGGCTCCGGCTCCTCCAGAGGAGCCCTGCCAAACGTTTTCTTGAAAAAGCCATTTTTCAGTAAAAAACAGAGAAGTCGGAGCCGTTTTGGAGGAGCCACAATTTATAGCTCCTCCAAAACGACTCCGGCTCCTCCGGAGGAGCCTCTCGGGAGGAGCCGTGCCAAACAGTTCCCCGTGCCAAACAGTTCCTAAAGAAGCTGTCCGCTGAGGAAACCGTCTGCCCACGCGCGCGCAAATTATTTGCCGGCCGGCGGGAGCATACCATCCGAACGGCCGGACCCTAGGAGCGCCCTAATGTCCTTCAGTCCTGGAAAATTGCTCGGTGCTCGGTGCTGCAGGCGGCAATGGCTCTATAGACTGAACGGAAGGAAGATCATTTTCCCCTGAGTTGCAGTCCTGCAGTTGCATGTCTTCCGGATAACAGAGGTAATACAGAGAATCGGGGTCGTTGATTTGCAGGCTTGTGCCAATGCTCATCAGGTCGTCACCATAGCTCATGGCAAGGGGGCAGGGCTAGTGGTGCACCAGCGAAGTTGCCGTCTGTAGGCTGGACGCCACCGTTGCACATGCATTGGAAACCATACTCATGCTGCGCCGTGCTTTGCTGACAGACGTCACACGCGAGTTGCTGGTTGATAGTGTCGATTCTGTCGTAGCCGTAGCCGTAGCCGTACATGTCCAATTGTCCATCGCCTCCGTATGCTGCTGGTAGCCGTCCATGCCTGACGCGTCAGGATGCATACTGATGGTGTTGCACGGCGGCACGAATCCATCGTCCTGTAGGACACGATCTCTGCCATTGCCCGGCACGCGCACGTTGCTGTTAACACCCATGACGAAGTTGTTTCCGACGCAAGGAGCGCCGCCGCCGTCGTGCCCCAGCGGCGTGACGGCACTGGACCCGGCCGGCAACGCGGTTCCATCGACCACGTCGTCTCCGCCGTTGTCATCATGGACGGGCAGACCCAGCGTCCCCATCCTCTCGTTCACGGGCTGCGAAACCTTGTCCACGAACCGGGGCAGCCGGTACGCCTCCTCCAGCGTGAAGATCTCCAGCGCCACGTCCAACCGATTCAGCTGTTAGTAATCCTAGAGTAATTTTCAGCATAGCATATCTATTTTTAGCACATGCATGCACACGAGGACCGGCTTGTGGTTACTGTGTGCGTAGGAAGTCATGGACGAGAATCGCTCGGCATGAACTCGAGCATGCAAGCCATGGCCGGCTGTTGCGGCGCATGGGGATGGACGTGCGCACTCTGCGCAACCGTGTGCGTCGTGGCTTGCATCTCTCTGCTTTGTAATTCAATAAATAGCAATACAATCCCAGAAAACGCTGCGCCCTTGGCAGCACCAAACTCTCGTGTTCATCGTTTGTTTCCTCGCTGCTGCTCGCATTCTCTCGCCGCCGTTCGGTTTCTGACAAGTGGTACCAGAGCCAAGTGTTCGAGGGACCGCGCCGTCGCCATGGCGTCTCCGCCGAGACCCCGCGGCCGTTCACCGGTTGGCAAGG